CGGTGCGCCACACGATCCTATTTCTTAATTCATAAGTGGACGGCGTGCCACACGATCCCATTTCTTAATATATAAGTGGACGGCGTGCCACACGATCCCGTTTCATAATAGATATATAAGTGGACGGCGTACCACACGATCCCATTTCATGATATATAAGCGGTCGGCGTGCCACACGATCCTATTTCATAATATATAAGTGGACGGCGTGCCACACGATCCCATATCATAGTTCAAAATGTCTGGCTTTGTAAAGGAGGCCCCATTAGGGGAATTCGACAACATAACACTTTAACTCGGCAAGGGTATAGCTAACCGCCCAAATATCCCGGCAATGGAGAGTACATAATAATAGTCTACACGTCCCGGCAAGAGAATAATCACAATACATCCTATTTTAAATCACTTCTTTCTCAATTATCACATTCTTGTTCGAGCCAACGCTCCAAAATATACCAATCACAATTCTTCCTCAACCGTTCACATTATATGAAATTTATCAATTAAACAAGAAGGTTGTGTCACATCATTCGAATTAAAAGCAATTAAGACTCGCGGTCATGCTAGACTCCGGTGCATAGACAACCGTCACGATGCCTATACACCGACTCCACATTTAGCAAGTAGCAAATAACATCCTAATCCTATTCCCTCAAGCCAAAGTTAGAACAAACACTTACCTCGGTCCAAGAATAGCAATCAACTCTCTAATACCGCCTTTCCTCTACAATCCAACTCCGAAACAATGATATCTAGGCATAATTAGTTCAATAATATCAATATGGGCTCAAAAACATAATCCCATAGCCTAGAAATGAAATTCCTATCATTCTTCCAAAAATAGCAAAATTCGACACCGGTCCCACATGGTCCAAACACGAGGCTCGGACCAAAACCCAATCACCCATAACCCCACGAGTTCAAATATATAATTTATTTCAAGATTCAACCCCAAATTGAGGTTGAATCACCCAAAATCCCCAAAGCCCTAACTCTACCCAAAACCCCCATTTTCTACTTTGATTTCAAGGTTTAGGGCTAGGAATTTAGTAATTAATAGAGGAAATTGAAGAAAACAAGTTGAACAATGCTTACCCAAGAAGTTTTGATGAAAGGGAGCTTCAATGGACGCCTAAGTGCTTGGAGAAGAAAGGAGTTCGTGTATTTTTATGAAAATCTCGAGCTACTGTTCTGTTTTTAACTTAAAAATTCGCTGGGAAAAATTGCCCTTCGCGTTCGCGGGAGAGGGTCCGCGTTCACGAAGGTAGACTGGGTAGGCTATCGCGATCGCGTGGAGAGAGACGCGAACGCGTAGAAGGAAATTGCTGGGGTCCAGGAACTGTTCTATGCGAACGCGTGGGATTTCACACGAACGCGATGAAGGAGTTCTGTAGAGCTACGCGAACGCGAGGGTACAAACGCGAACGCGAAGGGGAAAAGGGAGACTCTACCCTCAGGGTCAAATAACCCTACGCGAACGCGGGGCTGGGACGCGATCGCGAATAAAGAGGGAGTAAGGCATCGCGAACGCGGGATGAAGAACGCGATCGCGAAGAGGAAATGGGCTCTGCAACAGCTGAAGCAAAATCTGCTATTTTTAGTGTAAAAACACCCCGAACCACCTCCAATTCACTCCCGAGCCCTCGGGGCTCCTAACCAATCACACACATAACTCAATAACATCCTACAAACTTACTCGAGCGATCAAATCGCCAAAATAACATCAAAATCATTGAATCAAGCCCCAAGATCATCATTTTCATTTCAAACTTCATAACTTCAAATTTTAGATATTTAGGTCCGAAACACGTCAAATGACATCCGATTTCGACCAAACTTTACAGAAAGCGCTTAACACATATTTAAGACTTGTACCGGGCGTCGGAACCAAAATACAAGCCCGATACCATAGTCTTTTGATCAATTTTCATTTCCATTTTCCTTAATAATTTCAGAAAAACAATTTCACAGAAAAATTTATTTCTCGGGCTCTCGACCTCGAAATTCGACTCCGGGCATATGCCCGAGTCCCATATTTTTCTACGGACCCTCCGGGACCGCCTAATCATGGGTCCGGGTCCGTTTACCAAAAATGTTGACCAAAGTCAACTTTAGCAATATTAATATCAAAAATCTTCAAATTTTTTACAGAGTTCACATATTTCAACATAAAAGCTTTCCGGCTACGTGCCCGGACTGCGCACGCAAATCGAGGCAAGCAGAAATGAGTTTTTTTTTCAAGGCCTCAGAAGCACGGAAAAGAGAGAAATCCGGTGATGACCCTTTGGGTCGTCACATTCTCCACCTCTAAAACAACCGTTCGTCCTCGAACGGACAAAAGAAGGAAGTACTTGAGTCGGGAAATAGATGAGGATAACGGCTCCGCATATCAGACTCGGACTCCCAGGTCATTGCCTCAAGAGGCTGACTTCTCCACTAGACACGCACTGAAGGAAAACTTTTCGACCTTAACTGTCGAACCTGCCGGTCTAGAATGGCTACCGGCTCCTCCTCGTAAGACAGATCCTTGTCCAACTGGACAGTGCTGAAATCTAACACGTGGGCTGGATCGCCGTGATACCTCCGAAACATGGACACATGAAACACTGGATGCACGACTGACAAGCTGGGCGGCAAGGCAAGTTTGTAAGCCACCTCTCCCACACGATCGAGAATCTCAAATGGGCAAATGAACCTAGGGCTAAGCTTGCCCTTCTTCCCAAATCTCATCACGCCCTTCATAGGCGACACTCGGAGCAAGACCTGCTCACCAACCATGAAAACTACATCTCGAACCTTACGATCCGCATAACTCTTTTGCCGCGACTGAGCCGAACGAAGCCTGTCCTGAATGATCTTGACCTTATCCAAGGCCTCCTGAACTAAATCTGTACCCAATAACCGAGCCTCTCCCGGCTCAAACCATCCGACTAGAGACTGACATCGCCTACCATACAACGCCTCATATGGAGCCATCCGAATGCTGGACTGGTAGCTGTTGCTGCAGGCGAACTCTGCTAAAGGCAAAAACTGGTCCCACGAGCCTCCAAAATCAATGACACAGGCTCGGAGCATATCCTCCAATATCTGAATAGTCCTCTCGGACTGGCCGTCCGTCTGGGGATGGAATGCTGTGCTCAACTCAACCCGTGTGCCCAACTCTCGCTGAACTGCACCCCAGAAACGCGAGGTAAACTGCGTACCCTGATCCGAAATGATAGATGCCGGCACCCCATGAAGGCGAACAATCTCTCGGATGTAGATCTCAGCTAACCTCTCCGATGAATAAGTGGCTACAACAGGAATAAAATGCGCTGACTTGGTCAGCCTATAAACAATAACCCATATCGAGTCGAACTTCTTCCGGGTCAACGGAAGTCCAGTAACGAAATCCATGGTAATCCTCTCCCACTTCCACTCGGGAAGCTCAATCCTCTGAAACAAACCACCAGGCCTCTGATGCTCATACTTAACCTGCTGACAGTTCAAACATCGAGCCACATATACAACAATATCTTTCTTCATCCTACGCCACCAATAAAGCTGCCGCAAGTCCTGATACATCTTCGCGGCGCCCGGGTGAATAGAATACCGAGAACTATGGGCCTCCGCTAAGATCAACTCCCGAATCCCATCGACATAGGCACACAAACTCGCCCGTGCAACCTCAAAACACCATCATCATCTAAGGTCACCTTCGTGGCACCTCCACGCTGCACCGTGTCTCTCAGGACACACAAATGGGGATCATCAAACTGCCGATCACGGATACGCCCCAATAATGAAGAACGAGCGACCGTGCAAGCTAACACTCTGCTAGGCTCAGAAATGTCCAACCTCACAAACAGATTGGCCAAGGCCTGAATATNCTTTCAACACAATACACAAAATAATCCCGAAAAGAGAGAAAGATGTTATAATAAACTATCCCGTCCAGGGAACAAGATAATATAATAAACTATCCCGACAAGGGAACAAGATAATATAATAAACTATTCCGGCAAGGGAACAAGATAATATAATAAACTATCCCGGCAAGGGAGACCCAGCTATAACCAAACTTACTCAATTTCTACTTAACACAATTAAATCAATACTCAGTCTCATCAATTACTGGCTCAGTGTTAAAGATTTCCAACCAAGTCCTCATAAACAACAATTAAGAATTCGATAATATAGCAATTCAGGACTCACGGTCATGCTCGACACCAGTGTATAGATACTCGTCACCATGCCTATACACCGTACTCGACAAATAGCAATTAGCAAATAAGACTCTACTCATATTCCCTCAAGCCAAAGTTAGACCAAACACTTACCTCGAATGCTCCAAACTCAACTCAAGCCTCTAGTATAGCTTTACCCCTCGAATTCGGCTCCAACTCGGTCAAATCTATGAAATAATGACCTTACAATATTAATAATAGCTAAACAAACTAAACCCAATGCCTAAATATGAATTTCCAAGCTTTCTTCCAAAAATTTCAAAATCGACCCCGGGCCCGCTTGGTCAAAACATGAGGTTCGAACAAATTCCATGTCACCCATTCCCCCACGAGCCCGGATATACAATTTGTTTTCAAATGCGACCCCAAAACGAGGTCTAAATCAAAGAAAATTGAAAAGCCCTAACTCTACCCATTTTCCCCAATTTCAACCCTAGATTACATGATTTGAACTTAGGAATTTGATAAATGATGATGGAAAATGAAGGAGACAAGTTAAACAATACTTACCCAAGAAGCTTTGATGAAGAAATGCCCTAACAATCGCCTAGAAGCTTTGGAGAAGAAAGGGTTCGTGTATTTTTTGAATAAAACCCGACACAGTTCTGTTTTTATGACTTAAAAATTGCTGGGTGAAATTACCCTACGCGTTCGCGACAGTAGGGTCACGTTCGCTAAGGGAAGAAATTGACAACCATCGCGTTCGCGAGTGGAGAAGTGCGAACGCAAAGAGGAAAAATTCTGGGGTCCAAAGTTGGCCTACGCGAACGCGTATCAGGAGACGCGAACGCGATGGAGAAACCAGAAAAGCATCGCGATCGCGATGGCCAGAACGCTAACGCGGAGGAGGAAGAGCTCAAGGCTACGCGAACGCGATAGGGTGAGTGCGAACGCGAAGAAGGGAATTACTGTGCACCAACAACAGATTTTTCTGCAATATTTCCTAACTCCAAAACTACTCCGAACACCTCCGAAATCACTCCCGAGCCTCGGGGCTCCTAACCAATCACACACACTAACTCAACAACATACTACGAACTTAACCGTACGATCAAATCACCAAAATAACATCAAAAACGAGGAATCAAACCTCAAAATCGTCACTTTTTTCATCAACTTCATAAACTTTCATTTTTAGATATTTAGGTCCAAAACACGTCAAATGACGTCCGATTTCAACCAAATTTCACAGAAAGCGCTTAAACCACATATAAGACCTGTACCGGGCGCCGGAACCAAAATACGGGCCCGATACCAACACATTCTAATCAATTTCCTTTTCAAATTTCCATATTAATTTCTGAAAAACAATTTCACAAAAAAATTCCTTTCTCGGGCTCTCGACCTCGGAATTCGACTCCGGGCATATGCCCGAGTCTCATATTTTTCTACGGACCCTCCGGGACCGTCCAATCACGGGTCCGGGTCCGTTTACCCAAAATGTTGACCAAAGTCAACTTTATTCATATTAATATCAAAATTCATCAATTTTTACGTAGAATTTATATTTAAGCTTTCCGGCTACGCGCCCGGACTGCGCACGCAAATCGAGGCAAGCCTAAATGAGGTTTTCAAGGTCTCGAAGACACAGAATGAGTGAGAAAACAGGTGATGACCCTTTGGGTCGTCACACGTACCTTGTTACAGACTTTCTGGATACTGGACATGATGCCCAGTCAGCATCACAAAACGCTGTGAGTTTTGGGCAAGGCTTTGAGCTCATTAGTAGACCAAGTCCTGGTGCCCCTTTTATGTACCTGACAACTCTCACTGCTGCCTCTATGTGAGACTTCTTTGGGCAATGCATAAATTGGCTCAACACATGCATTGCATAGCAAATATCTGGTCTTGTCATAGTGAGGTATGGTAGTTTCCCAACCAATCTTTGGTATGGCCCTGTATCTGGCAGCTTTTCATCATCTTTCAGCTCCAAATGTTGATCATATTCTGCTGTTGTAAATCTCTGATTGCATTCCATTGGAGTGGCTACTGGTTTTGATCCTTCCATTCCAAGATCAGTAATCAGCTCCATTGCAAATTTTCGTTGGTTCATCAGTATTCCTTCTCTTGATCTTGCTATCTCAATTCCCAGGAAAAACTTCATCTCCCCCAAATCTTTGATCTTAAAATTTCTTTGCAATACAGATTTTGCTTCTTAAATTAAGCAAGGATCATTCCCAGTTATGAGAAGATCATCTACATATACAAGGATGATCACTAGACTAATTCCTTGCCTTTTTGTGAACAAGGAATAATCAAATCGACTTTACACAAATCCTGAAGTGATCAAGGCCTCAGACAGCTTCAAATTCCACTGTCTAGAAGCTTGCTTCAATCCATAAAGGAATTTATGCAGCCTACATACTTTCTCCCCCTGGCTGTGAAATCCTTCACGCAAGCACATATAGACTTCTTCAGTGAGGTCACCCTGAAGGAAGGCATTATATACGTCCATCTGATGCAAATTCCAGCTGTGTGATGCTGCTAGGGCAAGAACAACTCTGACTGTCACCATCTTGACCACAGGGGAAAAGGTCTCCTGGTAGTCAAGCCCTTCAATTTGATTGTATCCTTTTGCAACCAAACGATCTTTGTATCTTTCAACTTCTCCATCTGCTCTATATTTTATTTTGAATACCCATTTACAACCAATGGGAACTTTCCCTACTGGTAAATCTACTAAGGACCAGGTCCCATTCTCTTTGAGGGCACTCAACTCTTGTGTCATGGCTTCTACCCATTTAGGATCTCCTGCCGCTTGTTTATAGCTGCTGGGTTCCTTTAAGCTAGTAATTTTGGAGAGATAAGTCTTGTATTTGACTGAGACTCCATCATGATTCAGAAAATCTTGCATGGGATATTCGCAAAATGTCTGTGGAGCTGAGCTGGCCTGTGATCCATTGCATACATAGTCCTGCATCCAGGCAGGTTCTTTGACAGTCCTGCTAGATTTCCTGGGCTGGTTGTCTGAGTTTGAAGGAAAAACTGCTTCTGAGAATGTGTTTCCTATCTGTTAAGGCTGTTGTAGGTCTTCAAGTACTGGTGGTGGTAGCAAGGGTGGTGAGTTTGCAACAGGTACTAACTCATATTGTGAGGCATCTGCAGAAGAGGGAGTGACAGCTTCTTGTGGAGGATCTGCAGTAAAAGATGAAGGAGATGATGGTGTTGTATCATTGCTGGGAACTGAATCTATGACACCATTGGGAAATATCTGCAACTTCCCTTCCTTTAAAAGCTGGAAAGGGAAAATATTTTCCATGAATTTTACATCCCTGCTGACAAAAAAAGAGTTAGTCAAGAGATTATACAGTTTATATCCTTTCTGAGATGAAGAGTATCCCATATGCACAGCCCCAATGGCTCTTGCTCCAAATTTATCTCCTCCCACTAGGACTTTGGCAAAGCACAGACATCCTATGATCCTCAGATGCTGTAAGGAAGGTACTCTTCCATACATCAACTGGAATGAAGACTTCCCTGATAGCACTTATAGGGGAAGTCTGTTAATGACATAAACTGTTGCTTGCACCCCAAAACTTGAGAGGCAGATGGCCTTGCAACCTAATTGCCCTAGCCGCCTCCAGTATATGTCTATGTTTTCTTTCCACTATCCCATTCTGCTGTGAAGTATGAACACAAGAACTTTGATGAATCATACCATATAATTGAAACAGATTGCTGCATTCAGAATTGAAAAATTCAGTCCCATTGTCACTTCTCAAAATTTTTACTCTTCCTCCAAACTGAGTTTTTAATAAGGCAAAGAACTGTTTCAAGCATACAATCACATCACTCTTAAGTCTCAACAAGTAAACCCATATCATTCTAGTGTAATCATCTACTATAGTAAGAAACAATTTGTGTCCATTGTGACTTGATACTCTATATGGACCCCATACATCTACATGAATCAGCTCAAAAGGCTTATTAGATCTACTTGTACTCTTTGGAAATGGCAATCTTCCTTGTCTAGCTAGTGGACATATTGTGCAATCTTTTGTTCTGTCATTGTTTACTTTGAACTTCATGTCTGGGATTTGTTTCACCACTTTATCAGGGGCATGTCCAAGTCTCCCATGCCAGACCCCTAGATCCTCTACTACTATGGAATGATCATGTGATTGTACAGTTGCAGCCTTGGCTTTGTCCTGCTTATGCTGCAGATTATACAATCCTTCAAGCTCCTTACCAATCCCCTTCACATTCCTATTGTCAAGGTCCTGCATGATCCAAAAGTCAGGATAGAAGGACAAAAAACAATGTAAGTCCCTTGTATGTTTAGAGACTGACAACAGATTGTACTTAAAATCTGGAATGTATAGTACATTCCTGATAACACCACATTCACCAATCCTACTCTCTCCAGTACAAGTAATATCTAGTGATGTACCATCAGGTAAATGAACCTTAGAGTCAGAATTTAGGTTATTAGTATTAATTTTGTCAAGTAATTCTTTGGTGTGAACCATGTGATTGGTTGCACCAGAGTCTACTATCCAGTTTTCACCTTTTGATTTTGTCAGCTAATGTAGTAACCTTGGTCGTACCTGCAAAATGCTGTGAATTATCACCTGTGTCTTTCTTGAGCAATTTCAGAATTTGATCATATTGTTCCTGAGTGAACATTATTGGTTGAGGCAATACAGGGGTTGGATTTCCAGCTGGTGAGTTCAGCATCTGTTGCCCTTCCTGAGATACTGCATTGGCTGCTGCTTTTCCCATATACTGTTGTCCTTCATTTGTCATGGTGTTAACCATTGGTCTTTGTGGAAAATTGTTAGCTTTTCTCCTTGCTTTGAAGTCATTTGGATAGCCATGAAGTTTGTAACATGTTTCTCTTGTATGACCTTTATAGTTACAATAGTCACAAAATAGATTGTTTCTTCTAGGCTTATATGTGTTTCCTGTATTCATGCCTCCTTTGTTAGTGAAAAGTGTTGTACTATCTCCCATGTCTAATGTCTGTATAGATTTTCCCATATTTCTCTGACTTTCTTCAGAAACAACCATAGAATAGGCCTTGTTGACAGAAGGTACTGGGCTCATCATTAAAATCTGACTCCTAGGTTGTGCATATGTCTCATTCAGGCCCATCAGAAATTGTAGCAATCTCTGATATTCGAAATGCTCCAAGTAGCTCTTAGATTCTGGACAATCACATCCAGGACATGGCATCAATGCATCATATTCTTCCCATAAATCTATCAATCGTGAGAAATAGGTTGACACAGTAGAAATTCCTTGCGACAAAGTTGTAATTTCCTTATGCAGAAAAAATATGCGAGATCCATTGACTTTATCATATTTATCCTTCAAATCTGTCCACACTTTATGTGCACTTGATTTATACACAGTACCACTGAGCAATTCCTTGCTCACAGCATTTATAATCCAAGACAAATCTATTGCATTACATTTTTCCCACAGTTCATGCAATGACTGATCAAACTTATCCTTAGTGCACCGTCCATCAACAAACCCTAATTTGCTCTTTCCTATCAATCCTATTCTCATAGATCTACTCCATACCACTTCCAGTTAGCTGAATTGAAATCAAGGAACTACCTGGTGTGTCACTTGGCTGCAGAAACAGAGGATGATGATGATCGATGGTTATGGCGGTTGAGTTTGTGCTGGTTCCAGCTGGAATTTCTTCTCCAATTGCCATATCTATCAACCTCAAGTAGATTGAATTTTATTTTCCACAACTAACAGAGTTTTCAATCCTAAATTGCGAGAAAAAAAACTGTGTGCCCTAGCTCAATCGATTGAAAATTCACAATCAATCTACGACAAAAAATTGCCGAAAAAAAATGATGAATGACAGCTGCAGTGAACGTGGATCTATCGTCCCTGCTCTATACCATAATGAAGATATGAGAGCTTCAATGAAGACAACAATGGCCAAAATGAAGGAGAAGGTTCTAGAGAGAATTTCTGTTTTAGAGGAGAAAATGAATCATGTATTGAAACTCTTATTACAATCTACTGAAGCTATCTATATATACACGCTTCAATTATAGATTCTAACCTACTGACCCCTTGCTTCTAAACTAACCAATCCCATAATTAGTTACAACTAACTAATCCTTCTTAACTAACTTAACTTCACTCACGTGATAGGCACGTGGCCACTTCTATCTTCAACAAGTTTAGACTTTAGAGGCCGCAAATTTGAACTTTTTTTCCATTAATATACAAGTACATATATGAAACAACAATTTTTAGCCATACATTCAAACTAAGTTTGCGCCATTTAGCACAAAAGAATACACGACACTTATTCACTAAACAATTTGTTTGGATAGTTACTATTACATATTATTTTATAATATATCATACTGTATTGTTTTAAATTGTATTACTTCCTGCATTTCAATTTTGATGAGGTAGTTTGATTTGGCATGGAGTTTAAGGGGAAAAAAAAGACTTTTGAAACTTATAATCTTAAAAGCCTAAGGGTAAAAGCTTTGTGGGGTCATGATATTTGTGTGGTTATAAAAGCTTCTCATTAAGGGTAAAATGGGTAAAATGAAGAGTTTAAAGTTGAATTATGTCTAATTGTAGAAATGTGTCATTCTTTTGGAACAGACTAATAAGGAAAATGTATATCTAAATTGAAACATATGGAGCATATTGTTTTGATGAATATAAAATTTTGATATATTATATTATTTGTCGTTGTTTCATGATGTTGTATATCAGTAATATAAAGAATAAACTTATAATATTATGAATAATAAATATGATATAGAGTAGAATTATTATATAAAAAAGGTAGGATAAAAGATAAAATATGATCATTTAATGATAAGAACGAGCAAGAAGAGATTCTTTTCATCGTTAAATAACGATAAATTTAACAATACAATACAATAAAATTTAAGCAACAATCAAAATATACATTGTATTTAAAGTAACAATACATTACAATACACAACCATCCAAATAAGATGCAAAATTTTGTATATGTCGCCAACCAACTACGCAGCTTTCAATATGAATAAGCTTCCCCAAAAAGCCGTCGGTCTGTAGCCCAAAAAAAAAAGGTTTGCTTTAGAATTGTTAGCTACTCCCTCCCGTTTAGGGGTGTTCAAAATCGAA